TCGGAGCACTGGGGGTTAGTTGTCCGGTTCGATAAAGCATTGCTAGGTACTAATTATAAGCTGGCCTGAGATCTGCCGCGGGTGAGCGGGTTTAAATTTTCCAATCTTTTTTCAAATAGAACTGCAAGTCTTCTGCTTACCCAATTATATAGTTTCACTCAATACTTCTGCTCTGGATTTGTTCAGAGAAAAGAAATGTAAGTTGATCCAAATTTCTTATTAATATAAGGTTCGTTTCAAAAAAAAATTCCCGTAAGTTAAATTTCATGTTTTTTACTCCAGTTATGTTTACTTCTAGTAGGTAACGCCAAAAATTCAGGTAATTAATTGTTATTGAATTTTCAAAAAGAGTTAGCAGAAAATAGTAAGATGCAGAATTGATATATTTTCTTGCTCCTATCTTTTATCATCTTTTTTTTACATAAACCATATGAATATATGGTAAAAACATTTCGCTTACTTATGTATTTTCCCAATAATAATTACAGATTGATAGATATAGCATTAACTAATAATAGTTTGCAAGTTGATACAGTATTCACCAAATGTATTTCGCACAGTAAAGCAATTTGAACGGATAATAGTTATGCACTAGTGCAAAATTGATAATTGTAATTGCATTCAAATGTAATATTACGAAAACATCATCATTGACTAAGCACTACCAGTTTGATAATTTTACTCTTTTTTTTTGGCAATTCTTTGCGGATATCATAAGATATCTTATCGATAAGTAAATGTTGAATTATATGCCACAGAATAAAGAGATAAAGTTGAAAATTGTGAAAAGTTCAAGAAAAATCAAATCTTCAGCAATCCTACAAACTTTTACTTTTAAAGTACGATTAGCTGACAAATCATTTTTAAATATCTCAATTGAATTCATCAATAGTTGAAAATAAGTTCAAATAAAATATTTTTGTTCAGCAAAATCACTCCTGCTTGTGAATTTTTACTCAGTTCTTCATCATCATTTCCAAAATATTTTCATCCAATCGTTTACATGTAATTTCATCATCCATTTTCTTGTCCAATCATTTACACGATCTGATTTCAATCATCCGTTTCCCTACTCTTACCGGTTTTTCCAGCATAATATTTATACACTAAATTACAAGCGACTAGTTTCTAACCATTTCCCAAATCTCTGTTTTCTTTTTACGCTTTTACTAAATCTGATTTTAATGATCATTCTGCTACTGTTACCGAATATCACAAATACCTGAACAGAATCCACATATGTTACAACATAAAGCTAATGAAACCATTTGCGCCATTTATTATGATAAAGACGCACAAGTATTATGCAATTCTTCTTAGACAAAACATGTTTTGTACCATTTGAGTAAGTTTAGAGAGACGTTATAAGAGGATTTCTGAAAATAGAATCCGGATCCAATTAACGTAAAGCACATTTCACATCCATTTTGTGCTGCTATGAATTTCAACGCTCATAGCAATTGCTCATGGCGGATTTGTATGTTAACACGGAGAGAAAATTATGTCACAAAAAATTCCATTTCAGAAAGATGAATGTATGAAAAAAAAAAGATGTCATTTTTAGCGGTTGACATCAAAATTCGCTGCATTCCAGACGATCTCTGATTTTCAATTCAAATGTAATAATAAAGTGGTTCTATTCCGATCTTTTCCTCTGAAAGATGAAGATGAACCGAATGAATGAGATGTCTAAGAAACAAAAAAAAGAATAGTCTCTTAAAAAGTAAACATTTCACAGTTGCTTTTTTTTCCGTAAATTTTTAATCTTGAAAAATATTTCAGAGATATTTCACGAAAATATTTAGCACTTCTATAAAACGCAATGTAGCAAGGAAATATACTTCGGGAATAGAAAGAACATGGAACCGATATATTCAATCAGAAAAGGGAAGAACCGGAATTCATGGCAAATAATCCATAAATTAAAGCTCGTCAAACGGAAAGGAAGAAGCGATAAATAAATTAACCGTATAAATAGATAAATACACCTATCATTGATCGATTACCATCTTCATCTCGATATTCATCAGTTGTCATTGATCTGTTCTAGAGGAAGCATGCATTAAATTGGAGATATTTATGGAATTATATCATTTTTGAAGGATTTCTACTCTGAAATGATTCTTACTTTTTCAACAAAGTAAGTAAGTAAGAATTTGTTAGAAACCTATTAACTTCCGACGATGTATGTTCTGGCTGAATAATTATGCGAAATACATTAACAGCTTGAATAATAAAAATAAAATTAATGCTAGACAAATAAGTAAAAAAGAATTTGGGCGCTCAATAAAATAATAATTAGAAAATTTTTAATTGGGACTGCTCAATACGGGGTACTTTTTGATTGGAATGCTTTAATTGGGAATTTTAATTTGGTGATATGATTTGTCTAAAAGAAAAAAAAAAAAAACTAATTTATTGCAAGCTTTTATGATATATGACATTTAAATTTCTGAAATACTCATCATTAAAATCATCAAATTTCAAAAAATGCTTCTTCCTCTTCCTATTCGTTTCATTGCTAGCCTAAAAGCTCCAAAAGGCACTTTTTTTTTCGCTCATCGAATTTCTTTTTTTAAAAAATTCCAATGAGATGTTTCATAATTTTAGTAATTTTTATTTTTT